ACTTTCAAAGCTGGGGGGGGGGGCGGGAAACAAAGGGTACTCTCTGTCTGTGTGATGCTTTTGCCAGGGACCAGAGCAGGAATGCAGGTCAGAACTCCTGTAAAGAGTTAGTAAGCAATCCAGTTAGATATGCATTAGATTCTGTTTTGTTTAAATGACTGATAAAATAAGTTGTGCTGAATGGAATGTATATTCCTGTTTTTGTGGTTTTTTGTAACTTAAGGTTTTGCCTAGAGGGATTCTCTGTGTTTTGAATCTTATTACCCTGTAAGGTATTTACCATCCTGATTTTACACAGGTGATTCTTTTACTTTTTCTTTAATTAAAATTCTCTTTTAAGAACGTGATTGCTTTTTCATTGTTCTTAAGATCCAAGGGTTTGAGTGTTCACCTATGCAAATTGGTGAGGATTTTTATCAAGCCTTCCCAGGAAAGGGAGTGTAGTGCTTGGGGGGATGTTTTGCGGGGGGGAGGATGTTTCCAAGTGGGCACTTCCCTTGTTATTTTTGTTAGACGCTTGGTGGTGGTAGCATAAAGGTTCAAGGACAAAAGGTAAAAAAGTTTGTACCTTGCGGAAGTTTTAACCTAAGCTGGTAAGAATAACCTTAGGGGGTCTTTCATGCAGGTCCCCACGTCTGTACCCTAGAGTTCAGAGTGGGGAAGGAACCTTAACAACACTCCTCCCACATGTATGGAGTTTGAGCCTGCAATCTTTAGATAGGCATCGCTTCCACTGAAATGAATGGCTGTTCGACCTGAGGTAGAGCAGCCTCCTGTTCCAAAATTCAACAGGACTGTGTCATGAGGTCACATGGTGTACGTCGTACACAAGAAGGTAAGTTTGGTGAATTGGAAAGCTTCATTCTATTGTGGGCTATCGTGTGCTGATGGTGATTGCATTTTTACTGACCCTTAATGAAATGACTGTTTCTCCAGTTATGATTTTGCTTTCTGCTGATGTAGTCTTCACTAATTATAACCAAATTCTGTAGGAAGTCCTGACATTGCTATTGTTTTTCATTTCCTGTCTCTCAAAATATTCACTCTCTATCCTAGAGAAAAGCCCAGACTACAATACATTCTGGGAAAAGATTAAGTATTTAATTGCTCTGATTTTTTTTTTTAAACAGTGCCTTCCAAAAAGCAGACTTCTTTTCTGGTGGAAAATGTTTGACAATAGAACAGATGTGCACAACTGAGGCAACAGCACAAAAAAAAGTAATGGCATGTTGAACTATTTTATTACAAAGAACATATTTTGAAATCTCTCTCCAGAGAGTTGCAAAATGTTCAGCTTGGTGAAATAGCTACAAATGGTTATGTGTCAGTGTCTCATCTAATCAGAAAGCCATTTCTTCTTTGCCCTTTTAAATCCATTTCTTGATGCTGGAAACCTGAACATCAAGTTTTTCCAATATATTTTGTACGTATATCAATACTGATAATAAACTATCCAGCACTTTACATCTTTAAAGGGATGTGCATAGGAATTGTCAGTTGGATCAGACCCAAGGTCCAGTCCAGTAATCTCTCTCTGACAGTGGCCTGACCAAATGCTTCAGAGGAAAGTATAAGAACCCTGCAATAGACATATGTGGAGTAATCTACCCCCCACATTAGGTCTCATCCTGATTCCTAATAGCTAGACAGTGACTTAAGCCCGGAAGTATAAGGATTAATATCCCTTCCACAAAATTTGTTATAATTAATTACAACAACTCTGGATATTCTTGACATCCATATAAATGTCCAATCCCTTTTGGAATCTTGTTAAGTTCTTAGCCTCAATGATTTCCCATTGCACAAGAGTTTCACACTCTCATCACATGTTGTGTGAAACAGGATTGAATTTGATCAGTTTTGCATTTCTCACCTTTTAATTTCGTTGACTGTCCCCTCTGGTCCTGACCAACCTAGCCTGTATAAATATTAGTTAAGCCTAAAAACCAATCTGTTAGGTAAATATTATTATCCCCTTTCTATACAAGGGCAAAACTGAGGCAGATATGATATTCAAAAAAGAGCCAGACTTAACCCACTGGAATTCCTGGCTCTGTGCTTAGTCCTTTAGATCAGACTTCCTCTCTATATTTATATGAACTAAGCATGTATTTTATTGTAATCCCTGTTATCTGTCATTAAACTACAAATCTATTTTGAGAGACTCAAATACACAGTATCGAGATTCATAGAACCTACAATGAAACAATGTTTACAACATCACTAAATAACTGCTCAGTTAACTGATGTTTATAAATCTGCAGGCTAGTTTGCTCTGCACTGATCATATTTCACATACTGTGCTTTATGTCCTTACTTTACAGCTTCACCATTCACATATTCCTGTCACACCCCAACCCGTTCCCTGACCCTTATTTCTATTGGCACGTTAAAGAAATTCCAGGCTGCAGTTCCCACTCCTTCTTTAGTGCACCAGAAGAAGCTATAGTGAAACATGAGCTGGAAGAATGCCATGGCTGCTACTCTGAAAACTATTAAAAAGAGACACCTGACTAGAAATATTAAAGTCTCCTGATAAGCAGGCTACTGCACCCGAATTTCATTTGTATGAAGGGGCACAATTAGAGGTTACAAGTGCCACTCAAAGCAACATATTACAGCAACAAACTGCTAGAAGATTTGGCCGCTATTTCTCATTTAATTACACACAGCACTTCTAGAAATTTACCATAGATGCTATTAAATAGTTTGGACAGCTTTCATCTTTTCATCAGAGAGGCCTTTACTGTACTGCAACAGGAATACCTCTTTCTGTCATATACAGCATAAGATTTACAAAGTCCCATAGAAAGCCTATTTCATGTTACTCCCATGCTCCAGGCCTAGCCCTGCTCCCCTTGAGTGAACTGCAAACTCTTGCTGATTTCAGTTGCAGCAATGTTAGGCTCATAAATCCCCTTAATGCATACCCACATCACTATACTGCACAATCTTTGGGTAAGAGAGAATAAACAGAGGCAGGGAAATAGGAGGATCTCTATTGACTCCTCATGACACAGGAAACAGCAATATTGAACATGGCATAGCAGAGTTATATCCTCTACTCTTTTTCACTGTTCCAGGGGATATTTAGCTTCTGCTTGGAAACCCATCTGAGATGAGCAGAAAAGCCCTTTACCACAGATTGCAAAATCCTTTTCAATACTTTGCCTTGCAAAACTGCATACTATGAGGTAATGACTGAATATGGTTATTCTTTGCCCAATATATTCATACTTCTCTTATACCACCTGCCCCAGCTCCCTCAGACAGATTCCCCCCTAGTGCTCATTGATGTGAGCCACCTTCACACCATATTAGACTAGCTAAAGTGCAGAGTATTTCCAATTACAAAGTGATCATTTCTTACCTCTTCATACTTTCCTCTACTTATTTCTACACCGTGTTACTCTTGTGGCAGCAAATTCTCATTTTTAAGATGTTTGCATGTTTCAATATTAAGTAGCAAAGGCTTGTTTTTTAAAAATAAAAACACTGCAAGTACTGGTTTCAGCAACAGGGTGGATCTGACAATCAGAATACATAAGACTGCAAGACAGTTACAAACCAGAAGAATCAGTTTTCTTCTTTTGTTGTGCTATTTCCATTTTTTAAGAGTCATTTTGTGTTTCAAGTATACATTCAATTATTTCTCCATTTCCTTTCATTTTTCTTCAGCTGTTCACACATCCTCATTTACAGCTCTATCAGTCCTCACTATTTATCAAGCTTGCTGATAAAAAAAACACAGTCACAGACACTATTCAACAACATTCCACTGTGCCACAAATGAGAAATGTCAATAGAGCTACTCTATCCTTCTTCTTACATAGCTGCCATTTCATGATCACACATGCACACAGACAGCAGGCAGACAACAATATACATAGATAACAGATGGGTCTATAGTGTTTCAGATTTACCTATAACTGTGTCCTTCCATCAGAACTTTAAGTGTGTTTTGCTTCTGGCACTATGATTAGCAATCCCACAATAAAGACTGTTAAGAAAAATGTTGCTCAACATTAGAGATAGGAAGAACAGAGTCCAAAAAACTTGGGTGCCTCCCTGTAATGCTTCGGGGGGTTACATGTGAACCCCTAGAGATCTTACAAACTGGCAATACTGCCATTGGGACATGTAGTTCTTAATGGCCAGAAAAATTAAATACAAAATGAAGATCCAAACATAGGTGCTGGAACTAGGGGTGCAGCAGCTCCCCCTGGCTTGAAGTGGTTTCCATCATATACAGGGTTTACAGTTTGGTTCAATGACTCTCAGCACCCCCACTATATATATTGTTCCAGCACCCCTGTATCCTAATGAAAAGAAGGATATGTACATCTAACATAGCAAAGACACAAACTGAGTCTGAAATAAAAGGACAGATAGACACTGTATGAATTTTCTAAAAGGATTTCAGGGTTTTTTAAATTGCACATAATCTGTTTCTGAAGTGAAATTCATATTTGCATTTAATTTTTCTCTCCAGGATGTCCAGGTCATTCCTAGTGTGGGAATATGGGCAAAGGGGAAATAATTCCACAGAGGAGGATTTCTGCTCTCCCTCTTCTTACTTTATTTTGTTAGTTACGATGCCAGTGTTGACAGTTAAGAAAAAGTTGTGACTAGTATTTAAATTGTCTGGTTCTTGGGCCTCAATTCTGCATCTGTTCCATACATAGAGAACTCTCACTGAGTTCAGTGGGAGTCCTGGGCACAGCATGACTGAAGGATTAGAGGCTGCAATGATGGGTGCCAATACAGGAATCTAGATAGACAGCTCAGGCATCTACTAGGGTGAAAACATATGACTTGATGCATACTGCTTTTGAGCAGCTCAGCCCTCCAGTGTTTCTAACCCAGTCCATTTTATTACTCTCTGGCCTGCTTTTATGCAGAATATATTCTTGCTAGTGATACTCAACAAATGTTTTAGAGTGAGTCTAATTACAGGGATTTAAGGGGGTTATTCCTTCTCTCTCATTTCACAGTCTTACCTTGTATGCGGCTTGTCTCATAAACTGCTTTGCGGGCTGTTTCCAAATAGCAGGCACTGTAATGACCCATCTTACCTCAGAGTTTTCAAACTCTGAGCCAGCTTGATCACTGAGCTCCTAAACCAAATGAAAACACAGAGACAGATGTAAGATTGACACCAGCTGTTTTACAAGTATATATAGTTTTCAGCTGGCTTTGGCGAAGGTAACTTCCCCTTTTCATAATTTTTTTTAATGTTATGTCTACATTTTTAAATGTATGAATGTTTAAATCACTAGCCGGCATTTCAAGAATGCTCACAATACCAACAGTGGGGTATATAACCAACAGTTACAGCATGCCTTCTCCCAGAGGCCCATGGAAAGGTTTCTTAACATGGAGCAGGAAGAGTTAGTTTTTCCAATGAGGAGTTCAGGTTTTGCTGAACATAATAGCATATTTATGTATGTCCATGGTAAAAATCTGGTCTCTGCAGACACTTTAAAGAATTCACACTTTCACCCTAATTAATGTCCCGCAAATTATCTGCTGTAGCACTGACAAACCTTGTATTTTACAATCTGAATTTGTCAATGGCTGCTTTATACACTGACCATATTTAGATCAATCCATTTTTTAAAGACAGAGTCAAAATATAATTTCCTCTTACTAAGAATCTGAAAACATTTGACTGTTGATGGCTTGAAAATTTTTTACTTTTGAGCAAACGTTTAATGGTAGCATTTTTTTTTCTTTTTTTTAAAAAGAGCTTGTAGTCCACTGCCGATTAGGTAACATTTGGGACATGTTTCGGGAAAGGTTCCAAGTAAAATGTCATTATTATAGGGCCTATTTAAATCTCCATCCAAAAAGGGTAAACAACAACCTGCTTTAAAATGTAAAACATTTTTCTACACACAATTCCCCAAGGCGTTGTGTTTGCTTAGCTACAATACAATTCAAAACTTGTGGTGGAAAAGCAGAGATCTTATATCACCAGAACACTCTGTTTGATCAATTATTATACCCACAAAGTAATGGTCCATTGATACTGCTTATTTTATTTTACACATATACACAGAACATCATATCACAGAACTCTGCTTATTTACATCAGTTCAGCTCCAGAGGATGCAACGGAGCAAAACTGTACGTGTCACTGTGCAGCTGTGCCCCAGAATATGCACATTTGCCTTGGAATTTCCCCAAGCTGTGTATGATGTCAGCTCTGTGACTCATTAACATTCGAGTGTGGCGGCAAAGCAAAGCAAAGCAAAGCAAAGTAGCTGGAGTCCAAAATATGGCTTTGAAAATGTAGCGGTAGACTGGTGTCTTCTCTCACAGCAGCCATAAAGAAGAGAGATAACAATCAAAGAGAATAAATGAATCCCATTCAAAGAAAGAAGCAGGTTAACTATCTAACAATGAGGTTGTTTAAGTGATACTTGCCTGAATGGAGCTTTAAGGACAAATTCTTCCCTAGCAATCCCTAGACGGATTGCACTGGTGTATGTGAGTCCAGAATTCAGCTCTTAATTCATGATCCTGAGTTGTACCAGTCAAGCTGTGTGTATACGGTTCCCCTAGGGACAGCAAATCTGGTAACTTCTGTGACAGGCTGGATACTACAGAACATGCTTTCAGAGGGTCTAGGGTGCACCTATTATTACCTGTAAGGCAAAGTAAGGGCTGGCAGAGCCTGGGAGAGATTGTCTGGGTGGCTGACACACTGGTGGTGTTAGGGAGCTGACACCTAGTGAAGCACAAGCAACTCTCTCTCGCAGAGACAGGAGGGCGACACAGTAACTCACAGTCTTGGGCAACCCGAGAAAGGGTCACAGAAGCATGAATTCAGAGTAGCAGCCATGTTAGTCTGTATTCACAAAAGAAAAGGAGTACTTGTGGCACCTTAGAGACTAACAAATTTATCTGAGCATAAGCTTTCGTGAGCTACAGCTCACTTCATCGGATGCATTCAGTGGCAAATACAGTGAATATAAATCTCCCCACTGTATTTTCCACTGAATGCATCCGATGAAGTGAGCTGTAGCTCACAAAAGCTTATGCTCAAATAAATTGGTTAGTCTCTAAGGTGCCACAAGTACTCCTTTTCAGTAGCATGAATTGTTTACCTAAGAAATGTCTTTTGTAGGACAATACATGCTATATAGCTCCTCACCATCAGCTGGGAAGCACGTTACAGGAAGTGTGAAGTGTTGCAGTTTTTCAATATGTGTTAGGGGAGAATACAATTCCATTCTCTCTAATTTGTGAGGCTCATGTTAGGAATTTTGTTTTCTTTATTGCAAAGAAACCAGACCACTTTCATCTCTCTTATGTATAAACATCAGCCATGTTATTAGAAAAAACAAAAACATAAAGGGTGGGCACTTACATTTGAAGTAGAAGTGAGGCAGGGGAGGCAAGACACGAGAATAAGCTATAACAGATGTTGCATATACTGTATCTCCCTAATGCTGGTGAGATTTTTTTATACACAAACATTCTCTATAAGGGACAAAAAACAACATCTGCTCTCTGTTCACAACTGGGTGAAGTCTGCCCGATGTAGAGAACTTGAACAAAGTCAAGGTATCACATATGCCCCCAAAATAGGGGACTTGAGCATCTGTATAGGACCCTAAGAAGTTAGAGTACAATCTGCTAGACAGGAGAGAACCTTTAAATGAGTACAGAATATGGAATGCCCCAGCATGAGGAGAATCACAATGAATGGAGCCAAAAGAGGGGGGGGGTGGAGGGTGAGAAAACCTGGATTTGTGCTGGAAATGGCCCAACCTGATGATCACTTTAGATAAGCTATTACCAGCAGGACAGTGGGGTGGGAGGAGGTATTGTTTCATATTCTCTGTGTGTATATAAAGTCTGCTGCAGTTTCCACGGTATGCATCCGATGACGTGAGCTGTAGCTCACGAAAGCTCATGCTCAAATAAATTGGTTAGTCTCTAAGGTGCCACAAGTACTCCTTTTCTTTTTGCGAATACAGACTAACACGGCTGTTACTCTGAAACCAATACTTCTAGAGAGTTACACATACAGATAATGCCAAGCACTGAGTTTCCGGTATTCAGATTTTTAATCACATTTTGTTCAAGCAAATGCCAAATACAAGAAGATTTTCCTTGACGAGAAAATAATAGGTTTAAAAGCATCATTCCATTGAGAGAACATTCAGTCTCTGCATCACAGTGATACCAAGACATCCTCTTGCTCTTTCTGTAAGGAAGAAAATCACTTAAGGCTATCCAGGACCCTTCACAGTCCCCGACTTTCCTGGACTTCCTACAGCTGCCCCACTTTGTTTACATCAAACACTGCTGGAGGCTGAAGCTTGGCACGGTTAAAATTGTTGGGGCAGCATTTGTGCTAGTTATAAATATAGAGAGCTGAATAAAGGAAGTATTTTCCCTACCTTTAATGCCTGTTCCTTAAAGAACTGCAGGGCGTAAGCAAATATTTCAAGTGCTTTGACTTTTTTCCCGTTTGCAGCTGTCAGATCTGTTTCCATGGTGAGATTCTGAAGGAAGAAAATAAGAGGTAAATGTTAAATTCATATCCCATTGCTTGAGGGAAGGGAATTCTTCCTTGCTGGGACCCACCAGCTTAGGAAAAACTGATGTACATTGTTTGGGTTTTTTTTCCTAGTTTTCTTTTGGAGAGGATCTAACCAACCATGGAGATTTCCTGGATTGTGATATTTTGTTGTTTGTTACAGGCCAGGTTTTTTGTACCCATCAGTTGTGGCAACAAATAGTTGTAGGCAGAGCTTGTAATGCGGATATTTAAGTATCTCATTTGCATAAATTGCACCTGCAATTAATTGAAGCCATGAAACTGCATGCAAAAAATGAAGCCCAAGGTAAAGGTTAAAAAATCATATATTTTGAATTCCTACCAAGATGTGAAACTAGAAAAGAAAGTACTGACCAACCCCCAGAACTCTAGAATGGTTATTTTAAGATGTAAAGTCAGAGTATAATAATTGGGAGTACAGTCGAATAATAACATGACTTCCTTTTGGAATATATCACCAAGTATTAAGGGTGAATTCACTCCCATGCAGAGGGTCACCCTTACAGCTATGTAGCTCTTAAGTTCCTCTTACGCCTTCAGAATAGGGTGTAAGCGGTACATAGGCCTTAGATAGGCTCTCTGCTCAGGAGTGAATTTCACTCAAAAAGAGCAGACAGGACAGGATAGTCCAGGAGAGGAAACTGCCAAGGTTTAGAATGGCATTCATTAAAATGTTGAAGAATGTTTGTGGCTGGGAGAGGGAAGCAAAATAAAGCAGTAGGCATTACGTTGTAAGTTTCACTTAATAAACAAATCCTTTTTTTCCTACAAGTACTAATGCTGGTGCTCCATGCCTGGCTCATCATTTGTAAAGAAATCTGGCATGGCCAATATGAAAATATGTTTAGTTACCAATACAAACCATCGAAGCAGAGCTCAGTTATTACTTACACCAGTGGTGTGTAGCTTCATCTTAAACTTTTCAAAATATAACCAGTGCTTGGATTCATTGGGATCCAGGTCATGGTAGAAATCTCTTGCTGCATAACCGAAGCTATGAAACTTTCTTTCTGGTGTTAAGAGGATACTAGTTGGAGTCTTCTGATTGGATATACCAGGATCTCCACCTTCCCATCGCCTAGGAAAAAGATGAACCAGCTTCAAACTAGTGATAATTAACATTCATAATGAAAAGGAGGACTTGTGGCACCTTAGAGACTAACCAATTTATTTGAGCATAAGCTTTCGTGAGCTACAGCTCACTTCATGCTTATTAATGCATTGTGTAAGCAAGCTGGATCTGGCAATGGGTTACACAGAAGAATTTCACATGAGCAGACTTGGATTTGAATTCTCTTTAGGCCAAAAGTGAATGTTTATTCACAGCCAAGAAAACTTTGTTCCAGACTTTTAACAGTCTTCACACATGGTCATGAAATTTTCAACAGTATGGTTATATCCTTCCCTTTATGAGTATATAACTCCCATAGTGTGAGCTACACAGGAATAACAAGGGGACAACAGTATCAAGATAATTGAAAATCAATAAAATAATGAACAAATGAAAAATATATTATATACAAAAAACCCCACTTTAAAAGAACATTAAGATTGCAAAGCCAAGCACTCAAAAGTTAGGAAATGCAAAAGTTGTTGCCCATACAACCTTAAATCAGCCCCCTTGTCAATATGCATTGTAATATAGCCTTTAAATACATGATCATTTACACCATTTCCACAAGACCCCATCAAGGAAATCCCATCCAGTCAAATGTCACCATGGAGAATTGGATTCTATCCCTGCCTCTAGAGTTCTTTTGTGATGCTGGACAAGTCAATTAAAACAAACTTTTCACAGCTGGCCACTGATTGTGTGTTCCTCATTTTCTGGGTACCTTGTTTGAAACTTTAGGGGGCATATTTACAGAAGTGCTGAGCACTCACAGCTGTGATTGAAGTTAATGGGAGCCATGTTTTAACAGAATGTGCTACAAAAATGCTAAATATTCTCAAAAATAACACCCTAGGCATCTCAATTTGGGCATCCAAAACGAGTGTAAACAATGTTAGCCTTCCTCTCTGTGCCTCAGTTCCCCATCTGCAAAATGAGCATATTAATAAATCCTTACCTCCCAGGGGGTTGTGAAGATAAATTCATTAATTTTTGTGAAGCATCCACATATCATGGTGAGAACACCACAGAAAAGCCCATGAGTAAGGTTAAGATTCTGTCACGGGTATTTTTAGTAAAAGTCAGGGATAGGTTGCGGGCAATAAACAAAAATTCATGGAAGCCCACGACCTGTCTCTGACTTTTACTAAAAATACTCCGGGGCGGTTGTGAAAGCACTGCCAGGGGCTGACCTGTCAGCTGCCTCAGCCCCACTGCTGCTCCTGCTGCAGGGGCTGACCCAACCCCAGCCAGTGCTTCTGCCCTGGGGCCACTGCTCCAGCGCCTCTGATTGCCAGCCAGCTGCTGCGGGTCAGGGGTACTGACCCAATCCCAACTGCTGTTCCAGCGGCTCCAGGACTGAGAGCTGCTCCAGGCCTACCCCAAGGAAGTCACAGAGGTCCCAGAAAGTCACGGAATCTGTGACCTCCGTGACAGAATCGTACCCTTACCCATAAGGAAATTAATAGTTTTATATTCGGTACAGTGGATGGTGTGTGTGAAAAATAAAGTATGAGGCCACAAACTGACCGAAGAGGATAAATAGATAGATTGAATAACTACCTATATATACGAGTAGTGTATATCCTGTGCACTGAATGAGGCAGGGAACCTGTGGGTAAACAGTATGTGATCATGTAATCAAAGACTGCATCATAATTAGAGCTGGTTGAAAAATAAGATATTTTCCCCTGTGGACAATTTTGATCTTTTTAGGGGGTAGGACGGAAGCAAGCAGCTGTGGAGCCTCACAAGAGTTGTATTTTCAGGTGCCTTGGCTCCCTGGCCAAGCTATGTTCCCTCAGGATGCACCGCAGTGTCCCCTCTTGCAGATCTGCCATGATGCATCATGGGAGTCTCTGAACATGGTGCATTGTCAGAGATGTAGTCTAGCTGGGGAACACAGCCGATAGGGGAAACTGGAGGCATAAGACACCCAAACAACTCCCCTGAGGCACTGCGATGACCATTCCAAACTGAGTATTTCTGGTTTTGAGAAGAAATATTTTAGATTTCGTTTAGCTAAACACTCAATTTTCAGTCAAAAAACAGTTTAAGTGGAAAATTTTCAAGCAGTCATAATCATAACGCATACACACAAGGAATCCAATTTGAGGTTGCACAAGCAACCTTATTTCTGGCATTTCCTAATTTTTGAGTGCATGACTTTGTGACCATAATGTTGGTTTTTTCTGTGTAATTTTATGGTTATGTAAAGAAAGCCTCTCCCTTTCAGAAGAATCAGCAGTACTGTGTGTCAATGCTATGCATACAGGGACTGCAAACACTTCTGACTAAACCTCTCTTCTACAATTGTCTCTCTGCCTTTCTTCTTCTCCTCATCCATCAAGCACCAGACTAGACTGTCTGATCAGACTGGTCAGCTTTAGGGAACATTGAGAGCACAAGAGAGACAGTTTCCTTGCTCTCAGTTCCTGTGCCTGGCACTACATCAGCCCCCAGCAACTTAGAGGAAAATTTAAAGGGAAGTCCTGTTCAGCCCCTGCAGGCCTAGAATGAAGCATGTGCATCTGCTTTATGGGGAAGCAATACAGGTGCAATCCAGTCACACACAGGGGCTATGAGGGGACTGTAGATAGAATCTTTGGAGAATTTAGCTACTGAATTCTAAGCCATCTCTACTGAGCAAGCGTAAACCAAGACTTTTCAGAATCTTATAATTAGCCAAATTTGGGCAAATTTTCAGGGGGACAGAAAAAGGCACATCCCTAACACCAAGGCTTTCCCTGCTGCGAATTTTCAAGTCCCAGTTCCAAAGCATGGGGACACTAGAGATTTCAACCAAAAAGTTGTAAATTTCTTTTAACATGGCAAAACAACATATTTTCCCTCACTCTCATCCTCTGAGGCAACTGAACTATTTTTGCTGGATTGGGCTAAAATCCAGCTTGAGGCAGACATGATATGGAAAATTTCAGCCTGAACAGTTAGCATTTGGCAAAGTTATAAGCCACTGGGAACAGGGTCTTATAATAGGAGTTTTGGGCAATGTTAACTACAGGCCGAGCTACTTCCTCTGCATATAAGATAGCATATTAAATTTAGCATGCTTTGTTTTACCTATTGTATATATTTTATACGAGTTGCAAATGAACAGAAAAGACTTTTCAACCAAAATGTTGAAGTCCCACACATCAGATATAAATCCAGGGAAGCAGAACGGTATCATTTGGAGAAGGAATCCTCAATGATTCATGCTGAGTAATTTCCGGAAAGTTCCATTAATAGAAAATGTACTCAGGAGCTAGATAATGATGGCCCTGTTTATTTTCTTTATGGACAGGTGGATTATGCCTTTTTCTAGACTGAATGCACTTAAGCTGCAGCTAAACCTGGCAGCCCAACACGTCACTCCATTACGGCTGAGATTTCCAAAGTCACCTAGGTGATTTAAATGCCCAATTCCCAATTACTTCTAATGGAAATCTGGCCTCCAAATCCCTCAGGCAGCTTTAAAAATCTCAATGTACACCTCTGCTCAGACATACAAGCTGCAATAAATAAATATAATGGGAAGTTTGACTTTAGTTTTAATAATAATACAGGCCTTTAAAAAGACTCGTATGGCATCTATTCTCTTCTAGAGAAGGGAAGCTGTGGTCCTGGGGACTGAGTTAGGTTACCTGTGTTCTACTCATGATTCTGCCACTGACTCACAGAGGAAATTTCTGGCTCTGTGGAAGCTTATAATGGGAGCTTGCCATTAACTTCAATGGTGTGAGGATTTCAACCCCTTTAGGCACATCACTTATCCTCTTTGCATCTAAATTAGCCCGTCTGCAAAGTGAGGGTAATAATGCTCACCTTCCTTTATATAACATACCTTGAGATGCATGTATGAAAAGCACAATATAAATGCAAAGTAATAGTATTCTACCTCCATGTATGAAATGTCCCTTGACATCAGGGGAGCTGGAGAGGGGCTAGGGATCGGTCCATGCAGACCTCATTGCAGGATCTTTGCTTTAGTTTAGACATAACAGGCCAGATCCTCAGCAGGCTAAACTGGCATAGCTCCATTGATGATAGCAGAGCCAGTTTTCAGAAGCAGAGGATCTGTCCCTACTTTACAAGGGGCAACGAGAGACAAAAGGAGGGTTGGTAGGAAGAGGGAGAACAATGGTTACTGTTAAGATCACATGATTGCTTTTTCTCTACACATGCATCGGGCTGACAAAGATGCAGTTAAGGGAGTGATCCTGGCAGTGAGGGGGGGAGTGGATCTAGAGCAGAAACTTAATCAAAGAAACAAGATTCTTGACGGCAGAAGTAGTACACTGGCAACACTGAGGCAAGAGGACATTCTCTTCTCCTCCATGTGTGGAATTCCCATGGGCATCAATGGAAGTAGTTCCATGTGTGGACCCAGGGGAGATCATGCACCTAACATTTGTTTTAAAATTGCATCCATTTTCCTATGAATTTGTGTCTCCCCCCATAAAATACTTAGACAAATTCAAGTATCTGTTATTTAAGCATCAGCCTAAATATTTAGAGCTTTGTGTAAATCACTATCAGTCGATAGGTATTCTTCAGAGTATGCAAGATATTTCTTCCTAACCCATGACATGGATTACGGTAAGGACCTTACAAATATCTTGACAGAAACACTGAGGAGTTAATGGGACTTTACAGACATGAAGTACTGTAACTGGTAAAACCAAAACTAAAACTATGTAATCAAGGTAAATTAGATACTGATCTAGCAAAGAACTTAAGCACATGCTGAATTCGAAGCACTGAAGTCAATGGGACTACTTACATACTTAAAATTAAGCACATGCTTTAAGTGCTTTGCTGGATCAGTTCCTAGAAGTTTTTCTTTGTTTGCAAGTACTGGCGCTTACAACAAATAACAACTGGAGTCAAAATGATCATCTTGGTTTGCCTGCAGATTATATTTCCCATGCATATAGCATGCTACAATGCTGCTGAGATCTAGTAGCCTAGTAATCTATATCACTGAAACCTTGTGGTCTGCTCTTGTACCAAAGGAGGAATTTGTAGTTGAAAATCAAAACGATACTACTTTGAGACATTTTACAGAAAAGCAGCTTTGTTAGAAGGTAGCCAGAAATCCAAGTGTCTGGAAAGGATCAATGTTAGGCAGAGAACCAAGATTTTCTTAGCAAGGAAAGACGACAATGTATCACTGGTGTGCTACATTTTAATGTAAACATTCTCAAGAATGTTGGAAGTTCAGTTGGAAGTGACATTTCCTGTGCTCAAATATTTATAAATTATATTACATGTAACCCTAATTATGTAAATATTTTGAGCTTCTTAATGCCCTCTGAACTACTGGTTGTCAAACTTCTTAACCTTTTAAAATTATGTTTTTTCACTGAACTTCATAATTTCATAAACACGTTATAGCTGGAACAGGATCATGAAACACTTTCCCCCAAATTCTCTATAGTAATTAAGAGACAATGAAAATAGAAATCTATAGTTGTGTGTTACTGCCAAGAGCATATTTCATGCATTTTCTGAACACAACTTCATGGGTAAAAGCATGTAAGAGTCAGTAATTTTTGTAATTGTTCTTGTTATTAAGACGCTAGTTATGCCACACTGGAAATGTGGGTACCACATTTATTTTCCTTCAAATTTTGTCCTTCCAATTCGGTAAACTTTAAAAAAAAATTCTTTCTAGCTTGGAAGAAACATGGCTTCTTCCTTTACTCCTTGTTTTGCACTAGCATCTAAAATAATGTCTACACATATCCAAGTCACCATAACAGCATGTTGTTCCCTTTGTTGGCATTGGTTTTGTCTAGGTTCTATACCAAATAATTTCTCAGCAAGTGAGTGGTAAAGTGATATTTAAGATTTGGAGAGTATTTTCCATCAATTGTACTGCAACTACTTTTTGATTGTCTAACCCTGCAATAACATCTGCACTGGCAGACCTCTGCAGCTGTATGAAGCCCTATGCTTTTAACTGGGCTCTGCACAAGTACAGGGTGTGGATCCAAATGCAGGTTGAGTACTTAAGATACTACAGGTCAAATGTTGGGTCTAAAAGTTTGGATGGTGTCACTACCTAAAATTTCCACAGTATGTTACAGGCTTAGTTTAAGATGTTAAGCAGTGGTGGGCCAGAGGCACCACTGTGCTACGGCTTTGTAAGAATGGCCCTGTCAATAGCACAGTTTGGGATCACTAAAGTACAATCTCAGAAATGCCGTTTCTTCCAGTATTTCATCCAGATCCCCTATTTTAACAATTAAAATCAAGAATTTAATTTTTCATTTAAAAACTAATTTACTGTCAAAAATGGATATGCAAACTTACTATAAATATGGGTCCAATTCTGCCTCCCATACATCTCTGTGGTGCTTGGTATCTACCTGTCTCCAACTGGTAGCACCAAGTACCTTTTCATGAATTGCATTGTGGGTTTCTTGAAGGACCCTTGATGAATGGGGCAGAAAGGCTTTTTATAAACTGACCACAGACGTTGACTGCACAATCAGGACTGTCCACAGATAGTTTCTTTGCTTAGAAGAATTACAGCATGTCTCATTTGGTTAGTAGCACTGTAGTCCTTTTTACTCCAATTTTCGGACTTCCAGAAGGATGAATAGTAATTTGCTTCATGACAAAAGTGATTGCTACAGTTAATATTTTCATACACTCAACTTTCCAAACCATTCACCTTTTGGGCTGAAATTTCCCATAATTTGTTCTCTACACAAGGGTACAATTTATCTTTTCTTTTCTTTAAAGAAAGATATTTTTAGTAAGACTGAAGTCAATTTTGAATTATGGGCAATGAAAAAAGAAAACACAAAACTTTTCCTAAGGAACTCATTTTCCAGTGCTCTTTTCCTTTTGTGTATCCATCACAGTAGTCTTTATATTTTGATCACATTACTAGATGCAGACGTATCAAATTCGCAGGGGAAAAAGCTGTATTGCATTATATTATTTGAGAAACAATATGTAATCACATAACTAACAGGTATTTTGTATTTATACATGCATATAAGTGGTAGAGTTAAGCTTCACTTTTACATTTTCTGACTTTTGAGTGCTTAACAACCTTCACATAACATTACCACGGGTTTATGCACCCCTCCCAAAGTAACAAATTTAAATGGTCCAAATCTTCAAACACTGGCCTCTGTTTTTGAACCAACAATTTGTGGGTGCAAATAACTGCAGTCAAAAAAATGTTGTGTACACAACTATATGCAGGAATAATTTAGGTAACGTACCTTAGACAGCTACATTACTTGACTTACGGATGCACCGTTAGCTTGAGAAGACCAGATCCCCTTTGCCCTGCTCCAGATGGAAAGCTGCCATAACAGGGGAAGAGGGAGTCCAGGGATATTGGGGAATCCCTGGCATAGCTAACTTTATGCCGTTTGCCTCCTTGCACCTTCGGCAGAAGGGGCATCTTAAGGTGTGTCTTATTTTTCTAGACTTTCCCCACTTTTAAGTAAGTTGTGGTGTTCAGTGGTCACTGTTACTGGGTTGATTCCTTGCTGTTGATCACAGAGGGTCACAGCCACTCTACTTCCCTGGTGGAACCTTCTCTCTCTCTGTTCACTACCTCCTACTGAGATGCTAGGAGAGGTAAACTTTCCCCTTTAAATGAATATGCACAACTTTCTCCTACTTATTTCAGTTAGGGTCCACCTACTGCTCAGAACTGCAAACTGCACCATTTCTTAAAATTTAATTAGAGCATCATAAAGCAATGGTATTTCAGCCTAAATGATTCTCTTCAGTTTGAAAATATTTAAGGACACCCATAGCAATAACCATCATTGTTCTTAGCTCTCTTAACCCCCTCTCCCCCATATCATTCTGCAATGTGGAGAGATGAGGGGTAAAATTTTCAAAAGAGCCTAGTGACCAGATCTTCAAATGCATCCAGCTGAGCATTTTTGCAAATCTGGCCTCTTAATTTAGATGCCTAATTGGGAGCTGAGCATTTCTGAAAATCTGTCTCCAACTGTGGGTGCTGAACACCTTGGAAAATCTGGTCCTAAGTGACTTAGGATCCTAAGTCACATTTTCAAAAGTGACAAGCTCCTAGGTATCTCGGTCTATTTTGAAAATGGGAATTAGGGACCTCGGAAATTTTTATCCAAGGTTTCTAAATAATAAGATGTGCAAATATGCCAGCTTATACCTGCCAAATTCTGTATGATATGAGGCAAAAGGACAAGGGCCTTGCACCCACCCCATGTGCAGTGATTTCTCTATTAGGCACTTTTGGAACTACCATTATCCCAAAGTGCCTAACAGAGAAATTACTGCACATGGATAACAAAGTCACGACCGCCACAGTTATAACTGCTCCCTGAATGCTTCTGTATACTTTGCCAGCAGATTCCTCCTTTAATTCACACCATTTTATAAACCTGAGCAATAAGACTCACAGAGAACATGTTTATGTTTATTATTAAAGCAATTAAAATAAGATAGGGACATAGGAGAAATTTACACCATGAAAGGGGGTTTTCGCATTGGTGGCTGTATACAAATCCAGTCATTCCAAACCCATGCTGACCTCAGATGTAGCAACTGCAGATAATACACACTGTCGCCATCAAGAGCTCAATGCTGCAATGCAGCCCTTACCTCATTACATGAATACATTCTGGCTCCTTGGTGAAGCTGTAGGCGTAGCCACTGGATGTCGTGCCAAAATCAATAGCCACAACAACAAGGAATGACTGCTCTACAGAGTCATTTGTATCAGAGTCCTTCTGTTAAAATAACAGAAACAGAACAGATTTTGAGTCACTGTTTGGAGAAGGAATTGTAATCTGTCCTACTTTTCAGTGGCTCTGAACTGCAGCAAAGCATTCATCTGTCTCCTGCAGAAAAGTGCGGTCCCCCAGAACCATGTCAGTAGTCTATATCCCTTAATGGGCACGGAAATGCAATGTACAACCAAACTAACAGTTAATTCTGGTACCTTTCATACAAATCCAAATGAATCAGAAATCCTTTCGTGTTCACTTCCAGTAACAGCTGAGACCTACACGGCTAGCTACCAAACTTTTAGAAATGTATTAGCTGAAAAACATGTTATACCTCTGTGTATCATATATGGAATACATGATAGTGATACCATACATGGAATACATAGTAAATTATAAAAGGTATATAAGCACAAGTAAGACTGCTCAGAAATGGTGAAGCCAGCAGGAAGGTGTGCAGGCCAACCCAATACCTGCCAGTAAAGCTTTATACTGCACCACAGCATCATATATTGCTGCATCTTTTTTGGAAAACCTATTCTGGAAACATTCTGGAGATTGTATTAGGACTAATTCTAATATCCTGCTGCCTATCCTTCTGCCTGTAAATCCATGGGCCTTAGTTACAATCAGTTTAGTTTGACAGGACTCAGAGGAGAGAAAATTTTAAACTAATGAATTGAAAACATCTCTAAAAATGTCTTTAAACTGCTGAGGGTCCCACAGGAAAACCAAGATTCTCCCCTTTTCTCTGGCATACAGCCCCCATTTCTAGCTTTGTGCACTCATGAAATATCAGGCCTTTAACTAGTTATTGACATGAAGCTGAATATTGCTTGTTCCGGGCCCTGGACCACTGTCGTTTTGTAGGAAATAGGAAGAAATATTTGTGTGGCGGTTTGATATTTTTTTAAAGAAAAAGGCATCTATTTGAAGCTGCTCAGGGAGCTGGACTGATGGAATAAATCCTGGCAGAAACAGATTAATGAACAGAGTATAAGCGAGGTCTATGATAAAATTTTACTCATTGTATGTTTCTACCCTTTATCACATAGTTCTACCATTTGGCCATGGATTTTGCCACCATGGATATGGAAATATACTGTATTGTATACAAAATGCAAAACTTAATTCAACCTTAACTATAAAATTCGCACCTTGCACTTATTAGTGCCTTCCCTTGAAGGGTGTCAAAACAGTTTATAGACACTGCTTATGTTTTTATTACATTTTAAAGAGACACAATCAATTAGATTGTTCAGCTTAAAAAACCTGGAAGGTGGCCACCCACAGAAGTTCTTGTCCTAAATTTTCAAAACTGACTAGTCATTTTGGGTGCCTAACTTCAGATACTCCTAAAACACCCACTCTCTGAAAATTAGGCCTCTTAAAAGTGTCTCCAGTTGAGCACCCAAAATCACTAGTCACTTCTGAAAATGTAGAAGTTAGCTTATGCCCCAGTTCCGTCCACATATTCTCTTGTCTTCAAACCCACCATTGCACATACTGAGAGGATATCACACAACTTCCACTGGGAGAGTCATAGTAAACACACCAGAACATAAACACTCTTATACTAATCACCTTTTTGTGTACTGTGCTACTCTCAGTAACAATTTTATCAGCCCTTTACATCTGACTGCAAGGGGCAAGGCAATTGTCACAGTAAACTGTAGTTGCAAGCTACAGCATAATTAACAAAATGTATACAGCAAACGATACCTTACTAAACTGTCTGAAGGGACAAGCTTAAAGAGATTTAGCCCAAATACAGATGCATGGTTCCTTAACTGTGATGTAAACTTTCTACACCCTTTGCCCCTTACACATCATCAAAAGCCAAATGGAATGAGGAACTAACCAACTCATGCACAAAACATGGAAACATTTGGCCTCTTATCAAATGAGGCTCTAAATACCTCATTTGATAAGGGTGGGTGGATTGATTTAAATCAAAGCAATTTAAATCACCAATTTTAGTTATGAGTTCAATCAACAAGCAGGAAACCTTAATTTAAATAATCAATTTTAATCATGTTTTGCATTTGTACGTTTTAGTTATTTTCCTAAAGAAAGGTTGATTCCCATTGGCTGGTAACCATTAAAACATGTTGATTTGCAAATAAAAATAGCCTTTACGTGAAATGCAGTGCTAACCAGGAGGACACGCTAGATCCATACACATTTTTAAATGCAGTTAGATAGCATAACCTACATTTATTCAAATTCTTAATTTTTACATTTTTATTATGTTAGAAAATGGTGAACGATGCATTATTTATTTACTTGATGATGATTTTATACTTGTGATCTGAGTTGCGTACTATTTGGGTGGAAATTAAGATTTAATTAAAAATGCTCAAAAACAGAATTTTATTTTTTGGATCATATAAAACTACTGAATACATAAGAAAAAAAGTTTATCAAAACACATTTTGCATTTAAAACGAACTGATTTAGTAAACAAAGGAAGTATTATCTGTAGTTAGTGAATTGAACTGATTATTTCTGGTCACAATGTCCTTCAAAATAGTAGCTCTCCTACTCAGTTTTTATTCATATACTAGAAGAGAAAAACAAGCTTTTTCAATTCCCACTTGGTTTCTTAGCTTTGAATGAACTAGTCACTGAACTAGCTGAACAAACAGCGATGAAGGAAACATTCTCTCTCAGCCTGCAGAAGAGGTTACTGCTGTCAAAAAGCTGGGTTAGCACTTCAAACAAACCATGAGTTCAGATGCTTAGCCAGCAACTTCCAACAGTTCAGTATTTTGACTTTCTTTAAAACTTGGCAACATACATGTACTGCTTAATATTATTATTTGTATTTAATTTAAATGATTTTAACAGATTATAATAAATTCAGGCCCTAACCTAGATTGTCAATTTCAAAATTAATTTTCAATAGTTTACTGTAAAAAATAAACAACCCTGAATTTAGTTTAAATACAAAATATTTTTATTTAAATTAGATTTATTTTTATTAAAATGTGATTGATTTGATTTAAATTGGCTTTTCCCCACCCTGAAACAGGGATGGGCAAACAGGCTGTTATTTGGAGATTCAGGGGTCTCCACATTCAGTAGATATTCAGACCCACCATTCCTTCTTTCATTGAAGCCCCTGGATCCTACTAACTGACTCCCTTAAGGGCCACCTACGTGCCAGGACTTGTTGGAGATTGGTGATGAGGAGTAAGGTCCTGGAGTTCAGAAACATGAAGATTTGGTGGATAAACTGAGTATCAGGCATCTGGATATTTTCAGAGAGCTGTTCGGAATCACTGCTGGCTGCATAGGGCTGATGAGGGTTGGGCATTCTGGAAAATGTATTACTCAGTTCACACACTGATCTTCCCTTCTATAAAATTATGCCTTCTTAGTCTAGAAAAGGACATTCCCCCACATGACTCTACCTGGACAACCCCTTTACATTTTACAGAGCAGTGTCAGTATACTCTGTGCTGTAAATAACTAAAGGACTACAGACCCTGCCTCCAAGGGCTTCCTATTTACAACAGAGAAAACAGAAAAGCGCCACACCAGGGATGACCTGATGAAGGACTAATCTCAAACTTTGAGGATTCTTATCCTTGATTTCTCTAATTATACACTTCACTGGTGCACCATTAAAAGGCTTTGCAGGAGTAGTGCATTCACAGGAGAGATATTACTAAAGAGATAGGTGGCTGCTTGATAATCAAGAAGAGAGAGGGAGTTCCAAGTTTAAGGAGCAGTGCAGAACACGGCATGAGGTCATGAGTTGGAGAAAGAGGCAAAGGGTGGGAGAGTTGGACTGAGTGAGGGGACGAGGAAATGAATGCAGAAATCTAAGCAGGGGCTGAGCGGTGAAAAACCTTAAGGTAAGGATAAACAGCTTTGAACTTGATGTGCAAAGCCAGGTGAAGCTGGGGAAGGGATTCTACAATGGCAATGACACGTTCTGAGCACCACTGTTTTGTGAGTAGAACGTGCATTGCGTTACGGTAGGACCTCACAGTTATGAACACCGGAGTTACGGACGCATTAGGAACCGGAAATATGTAATCAAGCAGCAGCAGAGACGAAAACAAAACCCAAATACAATACAGTACTGTGTTAAATGTAAACTACTAAAAAAATTAAGGGAACGTTTAAAAAAAGATTTGACAAGGTAGAAACTGTATCTGTGCTTGTTTCATTTAAATTAAAATGGTTAAAAGCAGCATTTTTCTTCTACATAGTAAAGTTTCAAAGCTGTATGAAGTCAATGTCCAGTTGTAAACTTTTAAAAGAACCACCATAAGGATTTGTTCAGAGTTACGAACATTTGAGAGTTATGAACAACCTCCATTCATGAGGTGTTCGTAACTCTGAGGTTCTACTGCGCTTGTGTTGGCCATCCCTGGGGCTTAGCGATAAGGGGTGGAGTATGTCAAAGAAATTAATGTGATTTGTGCGTGTGGAACTGGAGGGGAGGGGGAGTTAAGATAGGTTAAAGAAGCATCCTTTAATGGGACTTTTTGTGACCTCTTTGGGTGTTCCCCTTAGGCAACTGTAAATGTTTTATTTTTCTTTGTGATGAGAAAAGAAGACAGAGAGAGAGAGAAAGAGGACAGAGAGAGTGATGCATATGTGTTGAGATCCTATTATTTTATAGTCACGTTTCAGAGAACGGGGAATATTTCAGTGATTGCCCAAGATCAGACAGCAAGAGAACGACAAAGGTGGGGATAGAAGGGATTGTTTTGTAGAGCGGTATTGGACCGGCTTATGCAGATGAGTGTCACTTTCCTCTACATCTGTCCTTATATATTTTGTATGGAATTCTGGCCCCACTGGAGTACATGACAAAACTCCCATTGACTTCAATGGGGCCAGGAGTTCATTCTTTATCTGTACTTCCTGAGCTAGTGGAATTGCTCCTTTAACTTTCTGCGTATAAGCCGCGAGTTCTGTAACTGATGACTAGGAGACTGAGGAGTCAGGAGTCCTGAGTTCTTATAGGCGGGACAGGCAGGAGAAAATAATGTCAATGCACTGTACAACATATACCCTATATTTCTTACCGCAATATGCGATGGAGACAATGGTGTTATTCCTGGGTCTCCTAAACTTTTAGCTGGGGATGAGTAAGCAGGTGTGGAAACTGCATCTGAAAGAAAATGGATAGAAAACTCTTCAGCAACTGGAACATATAAAAATGTCTATGCAGCAGAATAAGTAGGTTAGTATAGAGTAGTTTGCTCTCTCTACCAGTGCACAGTTTGTCTATTGTGACAATCCTACCATTAAAGCAACCATAAAGAAGGTAAATTCTATAAAACCAGGCTCTCTTAATAATTATGATATATTATTTTGGTTTTATAAACTATTAAAAATATTGCTGGTTCTTTTGAAGATTTGCTAGTTGACATGTATTCCAAGTCAGGTGGAGGCTGTACTGACAGCTTATTTATTATTTGAATCTTCTGACGAATGCACAGCGTTCATCCAAATCCCGTAAGTAATCTGGTATAGCAAGCCTTAAACTGAATAGTCGCTTCTAGTATTTCCACTGATACCACAGTTTACAAAGTTGCGATTTTGGTTTTGAAAGTTTATTTGAGCTTCCTGGTTGAGCGCCCTCCCATATTATGCATCATTTCTGAAGGCTTCCTAACATTATTCAGAAGTCCCAGCAGACATAAAGAGCTGATACTATGTACACTTCCACCAATAGCTTACGGTTAAAACTTGAGAATTCCTGCAAACGCAGAAGATGAACACAAGATGTGAGATCAAAAAAGACTAATTTCAATAGTAAAAGAGCAGTTTAAATCAATTTGACAATTCCGTAGAAGCAAATTGCAATTACTCTGTCATGAGCATTTATTATTAAACTTTCCCAGTGCTCAGTTTCTTCTCTTTAATACATCCACAGTGAAACACGTGGTACAGCTGTTGGTAGTGCTGCAGTAGCATTCCCAACTGGGAGGCAAGAAAGCACCATTAATGAATGATAAAAGAATTCTTTGGCTTTGCATACATTTAAAATCTTACTTGACAAGCAGAATATCAAGTACTTTGCATAAATACCGAAATACACTATTTAAAAAAAATCATTAAATATTCTTACCCTCACTCTCAGAGCTAAAAGTGTACAGTGTCAGTTCACTTGTGGTAGAGAACAAAGGAGGGTAAAGGCCAAATTTCTGCTCTCAGATTAGGACAGCACCTCTCAGGCTGGTTAAAATATATGTATATTTGATGATTGTATCAGCCACTTTATTCATCGGTATAAATTCCACTTTGTTCCAAAACACGTGCATCTTGCAATACATACTTGTATGTGTTTGTGTTAGACCTGAAAGGGGCATGTTCTGGCAAAAGTGGGAAGGAATTAGCGGAATGTCCATGTTCCTCTTAAGGTCTTTTGATACTTCAAGACTGATCCAATACCCTTTGAAGTCAGTCAGTGCGAGTCTTTCCCTGATGTGAATGGTCTTTAGGATGTTGACTTCATAGGAAACAAAATATTCTTTTCAGCTGTTGGCTATGTGTTTCTAACATTTCTCCGTGTTGCTACCTCTTATCCTTACCTGTCCAAATTCCTCAGTTTTAGTGATCTACATTCTGTGCATATGCTCAATCACAGACTCTTACTGTGTGTGCCTTGTGTGAAACAAAGAAAATCCTGTGAGAGTATACAGCTTCCTTTGTTTCCCAGAGAGCAATCGATAAGTAACCTTTTGATGCACTCACCATGGGGCAAATTCATGCTTGATGTAACTCCATTCAAGTCAATGTAGTTTCAGCAGAAATAATTTGGTCCAAGAAGTATATAAATGGGGGAATATATACACAGATATAAATGTATTGTCTAATAAAAAATGCCGAGCTGAGAATAGGGTGCTGCAATAGTTTATGGTAGAAAAATGTGTACAATAGAGAGAAATTGATTTATATACTTTCATTTACCAAAATGTTTAAAATCAATTGTCCACGAGTCTCAGCCACAGAATGCTCTTTAGAATGTTTTTCTAAGGACCTGATCTACAGACCTGCCAAGCACCCACCACTCCAGTTAAAGTAAATGGGAACTGCAAGCGCTCAGGACTGCTGAAAAATTAGGCCCTTCGTCACTTTAAACCTGCAAAAATAAACCCACCACTGCATCTAACATGTTCAAAAACACACACAAACAAAAACAGATCAAGTCCCCTATGATGACCACACTGATTCATCCTACCAGCACCACGTGTTGGCAAATACCTGAGTAAATGGAGAAACATTATACTGAGCCTTGGGCTTTACTGGACCAAGAGAGGGAGAGAATTCCAGAGCCCGGAACCACCTTGCAGGACTCAGCTCTAATATAGCAAACTGAACTTTTAGTCGAAACTTACTATTTATTTTGTAAGTGCAGCATAAAGAGCCATTCTAATTTTGTTGCAAGCAGCAGTTTCCTTATGACATTTACACACAGTGTAAATAATTTGATGACATTTCCTAATGCTACTGACAAGCTGTTTGCAATGACGAGGAAAACTTTAATAATCTGAGTTATGACATAACAAAGTGGCACTGATATTACCAGAGAGTTCCCATGCGAATGAATGAATGCAGCTGATGATACTGAGAGGCAGAAAACGTGTTTATAGAAAGAGGCTGCAGGAATCTAGCCTCTTACACTCCATTCATCTTTGGATTAATGGTAAGTGTTTTCATTAGTAGAACAGAAATGATTTGCTAACCAGTGAATGATTAATTATATATAGGAACTTTGTAGCACAAGATTTCATCTATCAAAAGGCCCCTCCTAAAATGTTTTAAAATATATTGGGGTGTGCATGTTTTATTTTTACAATGTTAACCTCATACTGTCCTTTTGGGGAAAAGATTGTGGCATAATTTTACAAGTCTAGTCCCAATAGCAGAAAAGACAGTGAAAGCTTAGGAAGGTTCTAGTATTTGGGAATGTGTTTTGTAGTCACAGAACCCAGATTGAGAGTTCTTGCAAAGAAACGGGGAGCAGGAAGAGGAGGTGCTTAAGAAGAGTTACAGGCCATATGGTTTAGGCTGCAAGAAAAGATGAAGCCAGAAGTTGGGGGGTGAGGGATGGGTGTTTTCTCCATTAAAAAAACCTTTATTCTAGATAGTGTCATGATATATAGAATAACAGTCCTTTTAAATGGGATATTTATAAAAAGAAAATGTTAAATTATAGACCCAAGCAAACAGACATTCACACAGTTCAAGTTCCAGCTTCATCTCCCTTGTTTATCAGGGACCATATCCTTTATCACACTACATAGCACACAGACATCTAGTGGCTGTAACAAATGATAAACAAATATTTAATCACTGATAGCTTGTAAATTGTTTACCTAAGGCAGTTGCAAGAGTCTGGTCATAGGTCCAGACTGAAATCTGGAATACTACAAGACCCCGAAACAAACTATTAACATTTAAAATAAAAATAAATTTAGTTAAATTGGTGCAACCTTCTTGTGTGGACATTTTAAACTCAGTTACAGAGTGACTGAACTCAATTAAGTTTTATCAGTCTTAACCTCTCAAAATTAGTTAAGAACATTGACACAAGTGATTTGCATAGATTTAACTCAAACTATTTAGAAACTGATTTGATTATATCAGTGAAATTTCTGAGTTTCCAGAAACATCAACAAGTGATTTTGTTAAAGGATTTGGAAGCCAGAGTGCCTCACATGATGCTTTAACATCTACCAACTTCATTAACTCCACTACTGTTGCACATCTATTTCTTATTATAATTGCCACATTTTGTTCCACTGCTTCAAAATCTGGGTAAAACTCGGAAAGCCAAATGCGCATAGAATGTGAACTTTTTTTATAAAGGAGAATCTACATAGAAATGACAGCTCATGATGAATGAGACTATCAAGAGTTATAGCAGCTATTGATAACATATTTTGGATATTAAATCTCATGCTTCAAGGTTTAAGTCAATGTCTCCGATTTAGGGATTAGGAGGAGACCTAATGTTGAGGACAGACTGTCCCACAGTTGCCTAATGCCTGGCTGTTTGCATCTTGTTCTGAAGCATCCAGTGCTGGGGTTGGCAAAGACTGGATACTGTACTACATGGACCATGGGTCTGATCCAGTCTGGCAATTTATGTTTCTCTGATGAATCAAGCCATTATTCCTCCATTGGAAAAGCCAGATGGCTGCCATTACATTAACAATAATATCCTACTCTGCATGTGGGAGAGACAAAATGGAAGGTGTAATCTATAGTAATAGGATAGTATTTCTTTAAATAGTCTGTGAGCCCATTAACGGTGCTCACGGTGTTCCATGTTTTCAAAGCCACCAGAAACCAGTCAGAACAGCAGTATGTGCATAGCTAGGCCTTGCACGTCTGTGTATATTAAGTAAACCAGGCTGTTGGACTCAACAGTGCCCGGGTGGTTTCTTCATTGTTTTGTTTTGTTTAAAGAGCAAAAGATACAACAGAAGGAAAGCAGCACTATAGATTCTCTCAGTACTATAATATGAAAATGGAAGTTTAAAGCATCCATGGGAGGAGAAGGCTCAAGCAACAATAAAAATAAATAAATGAATAAACGAATGACTGTAGCCCATAAAAATGAGAGCTCTTATTATAGACTATATCTTAGTGCATTTAAATCATCACACCCTTTCACCAAAATTCCCGAAGTACTTGAGTGTACTTCATATGGGAAGGAGCCAATCCATTTTACCAATTTTAAACTTCTGTTTCCCAAGGATTATTACTCTAGGATAAAAATGTCCTCCAGGGCAAAGCCTGACACACAAAAAGTCTGTGCTTCGGAATAATTTTTGTTTTGTGAAATTTGAGAGCAATGCATCTGAGCATGGCTGAGTTACAGAACCCACAAAGTTGGAGCTTATTTGCTTGCTCTTATAAACCCTCAACAGTTTAACTTTTAAAATGAAATTTGCCCATCTGTGCGTCTCGGAGAGCTGAGGACCAAGACCCTTTGTGAGAAATTAACAGCTCTTTACATGTAACAGTTAACTGATTGCACCGCAATTTCTCCCCTCCATAGAGGGAAGGGTGACTCCACATCCCATTGCAAATCCTTTGGAACTTCCACTCTAACATTAAGAGCTCTGCTGCTGATGCAGTAACAGTTCTCATGTC